TTTATAAATGTGAGAAAACCCTCAGACCATGATGTATTTGTACAGAATGGTCTGTGGGACAAGAAGAGTGATTGACAACTGCAGAAATTACATCTGAGGTTAAGTCCTACAGGAAAAGGGGCTACAAATTGCCTGCAAATTATCCGCAAGTCCCTGATGAGACTGAGGAGAAAATTTAAGAGGCTTAACATGTTCATGTGTCTCCCTTTGCTATAACACACACAACCCCAATAGAAATTGTCCCTGAAGATATTACTTTTTGTTTCTTATCCTTGTCAAATGTGGTAATAGTAAATGTTTAAATGCCAATTAATAGCCTTTATCATGTGCCCATTGTGTTCCGTGTGTGAGTCAAAGCAGAAGAGGTATATGAGCTCCAATTGATGGGTTTAAAATCTAAAGAAGAAACTATAAAAACACATGGTGTTAACTTTATAGGATGCATATGAAATAGCCTATAAGGACTTGCACTGATCTTAATAAATATGCATCACTTGAGAACTATTTACAGTAGAATAATGGTAATAATAATAATGATGGTTGATCCATAAATGTCTAAAGGAACAGGTTACATTTCTCTTCTGACAACACACGGAAGTATGACGCCCTGGACTTTGCACATGCATGGCTTGCTTACAATATTGCCTTTCTAAGGTACTAGGATAGTACTACTCAAAATGTGATCAGCAAACCAGCGCTGGTTCTCAAACTTTTCCTTACATGTCTTGATATGATAAGTACAGAAATTGAGAATAAACATTTAGAAACTTTCACATCGCTTTGACAGAGTAATTTTATGTCTGTTAAATCTCGTATCACATTGAGGGCTTGCATTTTATGTTTTTGCCTTTTGAAATTTCACTTTTTAAGTAATTGGCTTTTTTTTTTTAAACCTTATTTTACAGAAATATTTGTCCATGACAGATTGGGGGAAAACTGGGCCCTGAACAGAGAAAACACCATTTTAGAATGTATAAGACAATTGATGAGATAAATAGAAATCACCTCTATAAGCCTAAGATTTCTTACTTGGAAAATGAATTTAATAATAGCACTTCCCTCTTGAGGCTGGATCTGAGAATTAAGGGAAGGTAGATGTATGTTAGGTGCTTAGCCTGATGCCTGTCCTTGATAAGTACCCTCCACAACACTGGCTCTTAGAATTATTGAATAACTAAGACATGCACAGGTGCCATTCTGAATTATGTGCACATGGGACATAGCTTCTGTTTATAACATGTCATCGGTGAATAACCCCTTCAACATATAACCTCCCTCTGGAATGGTGCCACCTGGCCCAACAGACTAGTTCATTCACCATTGACTTGCTTGAAGCAACCAACATTTGATTTTTGGTCTTAGGACTGACTGTTCAGTGTAACTGCTCCACCATCATGATGTGGAATGTCCTTCTGTATGTTTCCTTTGGTTTTCCTCAAGTCATTGATTGATTGCTGCAACCCTCAGTAACTGAATTATTCTGATCTCTATTGTTTATGAAGTGCCTGTATTATTTTGGGTCCAGGATAAAATGACTTGTCATTCATAGATGGCAAGTGTGAAGATGTAAACTTCTGTTTCAAAAGATGCATCACTTTAGGTGGTACTTCAGAGGGCAAAGAAAAAGAATATGCAATCTCTTCTAGTCAAAGAGGCCAAACAATTTTTTTAAAGTGTGTTTTAAATGTCAGAATCGAAGGTCAGTGCCTCTTAAAAAGGCATTGGTTGTAGCCAGTTGTTTCAAAGCATAAATGAGTAATTGAGGATAATTCAACCAGAGTTTTCCTTTTTGAATTATAGTACAATATGATGGAGAACACCAGATTTTCTAGTTCAACTAATTTGGGTCCAAATCATGGTTTTGCAACTTAACTGGACCTATCAGGCAAGTCCTTTACTCTCTTTGACCCTCAGTTTCCTAATCTATATATCAGGGGCTAATGGGATAACATTTGAATATAATAGGTGCTTAAATAAAACTAACTCTCTTCTTTATTCAGTTAGTAAACTTCAATTATTTTTCTTTAAAATAACCAGTGAGATGACTTTAACAAGATTCCATGAATAGAATCAGATTTTTAAATATAATAAAGATAATATGTCAGTATTTATTTTTAAGAACATGCATTGGATTTGGCAGATTCAACAACAGACTGTTTAGAAACGTGACTGACTCTTTCCAAGGTGAAGCATTGTCAACTCCTTTGCACTCTGCTTTAAACTCTTTGCTCCAGCCAGAATAACTTTCCCATGCACGTGACTTGGCTCATTCTTATTTTTAGTTCATTGTGTTTAGCACTCTTCTTGAAATGACCTTCTGAGCCACCCTGGCAAACCCCACGCTCCTTTAAAACTGTTCGTTATTCACATAGTTCCGAATTGGCAGAAAGAAATCTGGTCAAGCGATTCACTCCAGACCATCTTTCAGGGCTGTAGGTTCTTCCTGGGGGCTGCACTAGTCCCCAGTTTGACACATTTTCTTTCTATGATTTCTGATACTTTTTCCATGTTTGTAGATTCTTTCTCCTTATCAGAACTATAAAGTTCCATTTCTTGGGGTCACACTGAGGACATTCAAGATCAGAGAGGCTGTCACTTGCTCAAGGCCACACAATTTAAGGCTGATTTTAAACAGGTAGACAGTTCTTTGGGTTTTCGTTTGGCATTGTTTTCATTTCGTGACCCTACTTCACTCAGTAGAAAATGCTTGGTATTACTGACAGACTGACTGAGAAACAGTGGGGGGACTCCAGGCCCGGAAAGGCAGCTGCAGAAAGAGTAAGAGCAGATGAGGGGAATGGAGTGGGATTCAAGAGATGGGGCAGATTGGAGGCGGGTAAGAGAGGGAGAAAGCAAATAACTGGCTTACTCCAAGCAGTTCACATTAAAAGAAAATAAGGAACACCGAAACAGCAAAGACACCACCACATTTCTGCTTTGCTTCTATTTTGCGCTTAATAAACAACCCTACTGTCGCTGCCAATGAAAACAGCAACCTCACTGTGCTTTTCCCCTGGCGCTAACTCTAAACAATCTACTGGATTTGGGTCAAAACTGTAAACTGCCAGCATGTTAAAAATAAAAACAGAAAAATAAACCTGGCCTTTTCCTTTCAGGTTGTGAGGGTGAATGCAGGACAAGAGCCAGAGAGAAGAGTTACTATAAAAAATAACTAGTGCACACATCCTGGAACTGATGTTTTCTATAAAAATCTGTTGGCTGTGAATTGAAAAGAGTGAAGTGGGGAAGGAGAAAGGAATGGCGGATCAAGTGGTGTCTGCTTAGCGTCAGCTAGCTTTCATGTAAGAGTCATGGCAGGGTCAGCAACAAACTAGCCAGGTGGCAACTCCAGGCCATGCTGCCATAAATAAATAGTTATGTACTAATGTCACACAACCAGAGCTAGATGCAAAGCATATGGGGCAAAAACATTCTGATGTAAATATTCAAAGGAATCTATGGTTGCTGAATTCAGAATCCACTGTTGATACCAGACTTGGAAACGCCTTGGGAAAATAAAGTGGTGAAGCTTTTTTAAAACTCGGACTCAAAGAGTCTTTGAAATGTAGATTGTTACCTTTCCAGAAAAAATCCTTAACCTTTGGCCTAAGAGAGTGTGACTTTTTTTGGTGCAGTAATTAAGCATTGCTGAGAGTTGGAGAGAGCAGAGACCCTGGAACGGAATTTCAGGGGTTTAAACTCTGCCCCTGCTGCTTACTGGTTCTCATAATCTCTGGGAAGTTACTTAACCTTTTCCTGCCTCAGTTTATTCATCCTGCACCAAAAGGAGGAGGAGGCTGATAATGGCAGCAGTACCTGCCTCATAGGAAATGATACGCATCGAATGAGTCAAAGTGTGGGGAGTAAACAACACCTGGTAAAGTCCTTGTCACTGCCAAGTAATCTAACACAGGCTATTTATCTTCCATGGTGTATCTGCTGGACACCAAGCTAAGGAATCTTTTCCTTGTACCGTCTTATTTAATCTTCCAAATAACCCCATGAATTAAAAATCGGTTTTACAAGACAAAAGGAACTGAGGTTTAGATGGATTAAGAAATTTACCTAAGGAGGTCTATCTAAGCTAAACTTCCAACCCAAGCCTTAGTCCAGGTTAAAAAAAAATTAACCATTTACACATTCTTTACAATCTAAACACTTTTTCTTTCTTAAAATGTTAAAATTTGAAAATACACACAACACATGGCCGTCTAAGAACCACCTAGGTTTTTAAAAAGGATTAAAAGATGGGCTGTTGTCCTAATCAATTGCCTCAGGAGAGCGGAGATCCATTCAAAGCACATTTACAAAACAGAATCTAATTCATTCACTGGTTTATTTCTCCAAACATTTATTGGACGTCTACTATCTTCTGAGAGCTGGGGATTCAGTAAAAAATTATTTCAGTCCATGAGCACCTAATTGTGAGTGAGAGTGATACTCTTTACTGCGGGCTGTTTAATGGTGTGGGATTTGTTTTCTAGGCTGTTCCCCAACATGGCCCAAACTATCTTCCTCACCAGCTGCAGAAGTTGTCGGACTTCCCTCAACACAAGCCAAGCTGTACGTCTACAGCGATCCTAGTGGGTTTGGGGTATGTTATCTCTCCGGCTCACGCTCGCCAAGCGCAGAGACTTTAGCGGAGAAGGCATAGTTTTTTGCAGGCTGGTCTCCGATTGGTGCTGCGGTAAAACGCGCGCGTCTGGAAGCGTGTTCAAATCGCGCGCCCAGGCAGTGGCTTTCCCGGGCTTAAGTTTAAGGATCGCGGGCACACGTGTGCCCCGCTGTCTGGTCAGCGCGCCAGGACTCCTTGGCCTCTGGCAACAGGGAGGGTAGGAACGCCGCGAGCACCCTAGGTTAATCCCCGGTGGGCCCTGCCCAAGGACCTGCCCGTAGAGATTTAGGCGCCACCTCTGCCGGCGGCCGTTACTTCCTGGTTGGTTTGCCCTTAACTTACATGGCGGCTGGTTGCCTTCGGCCGGGCCTACTGCGGCTGCTCAGAAAGCCAAGGTAGGGCACTGAGTCTACAGCCCGCCTCCCGCCGCGGAGCTGCTGGGTGAAGCCTTGGCTGTGCAGCCAGGGGTGCAGGGGGTTAGGGGCAAGCCTAGAAAGTCCAGGGCCCAGCGCTGTGTCGCTGTGTGCTCCCCCCTCGTCTCCCGACACCTAGGCTGCTCGAGCCCAGGGTGTTTTTTTTTTTCCTTTTCTCTGCCACCTCTCTGCCCCTGGCCCAACATGATACTGACCAAAGCTCAGTACGACGAGATAGCCCAGTGCCTAGTGTCTGTGCCGCCTACCAGGCAGAGCCTGAGGAAGCTGAAGCAGAGGTTCCCCAGGTAAGTGCCCTCTCCCCCCTCAAACAGCCCTTTGCCTGCAGCAGCTGTGCCTGGCAGCCTAACCAGCGCTTAGGAACCACGTGTCACACATCAGTGGGGAGGAACACCAGTGTCAGGTGTTCAGAGATCAGGGATGGTGAAAAAGGTTTCTTCTCTCACCTGTCTTTCTCCGGAGAGCCTTCATGGATGAATTCCAGGCAGCCTCCCAAGGCTTTTCAGTTAAATTCAAGTCAACAAATGTTTATTTAAAATTTGGTATATGCTAGGTGATGGGTGTATGTAGTAGGTGCTCCATAAATGTCTAGTGGGTAAGTGACAGATGCTGGGAATGAATGATAGGTGACAGGGCCCTCTCAAAGGGGAAATATGAATTGTACATTTAAAAGGATGAAATGGAGGACCCTTTTCAATTAGCCCCTGGAAACAAACATGAGAGCACAGACCTGAAGGGACCTCTTATTGTTGACTGTGGTTCTCAGCAGCAGTCAAGTGACCCCAAGTGTTCTCAAGCCAGAGAGAATGGGACCCTAGGGATTCCAAGATTGATCATTTGAACACCCAGATGTGTACACATTCTAGATGTATTTCATACTTCCTGCTTCCCCAAATACATCTTTTTTCCCCCATGATTTTAGGATTATCCAACTTTCTAAGAATGGACTTTAGGAACTGTATGCTATAGAGTTCTCCATTTCAAAGATGTGCAAACTGAGGCCTTGACATTACACAAAGTCCAGTCCAGGTCAACTAAGTTATAGTACTTGTGCCATGCTAAAAGTATAGAATGTTTGTTTACTTCTGTTTCAAAACCAAATCCAAACTTGTACCATTTTACTTTGTGACCTTGAGCACCATTCCCTTATGGAGAGCTTTGCTGTCCTCCATAGGTAACCCCTGAGCCTACATTACCATGGAATTGTTCTCTTGAGGAAAGCAGGGTTATTGGATAATCGGTGTTAGTAAAACAAGTTGAAGCACACATTGAGAGTCTCCTATGGCTTCAATAGAAGTCCTTGTGGAAGGACTCAGTTTTCCTAGTCTGTAAAATGAAGAGATCTTTTTACTATTATTCGGATTTAATATTTCCCTTTATTGTCTTTATGACTTTTATCAGACTTGCTAACAAGGAACAAAACTGGCAAACTAGAATTTAATTTTCTGTCACTAACTCTTTGCCAGTGAACAGTGGGATAGATGAAGGCTAGCCAGCTAAGGGAGTAGGTAGATTTTTCTGGGCATCTTAAGATGCAGCGCACATTGAGATAATTCTGCTCTCACTGTATACTTATATTAGCACTGTTTTTTTTGCTTCTCTTTTCTTCTCCCACTCCCTCTTTTCTTTCTCCCTCATTCTTTTTCTTTCTTTCTTTTCCATAACAATTGCCTTGTTCTCTCCATAATAGGTAACCTCCCCTTACACTTATTAAGGACTTACAAAATATACTTATGCTGGACTCCACTTGTTTGGGGCACCATGCTGTTTGCTTATTCTCTTATGCTCTTTTTTTTTCCTTATTCATGATATGCCCAAATATTTTTCACTTCTCCCAAATACCATTCAGGGTGTAACTAACTCTTCTTTTACCAGAAACTCTATTTAGAGAGGCTGCACTACCAATCTGCAGGAGGAATTAAATAGCCATTTAGCAGCATGGGTGGGAATTCCATTATTTGTGTGATTTGGGAGTTTGCTTCACAATTTTTATTTTAGCGCTGTTTTACTTTAGATGTTTGTTGCAAAGGAACAGCCTTTAGATTTGATTAGTTCATTGTAATTGGTCAAGTAAGGACTTCAGAGATAATTTCTGGTGGTTCAAAGAAGTTAAGTAACCTGTCAGAAATTCTAGATGTATTGAAACAGTGTCTAGAATACAGGTTTCATGACTTTCAGTTCAGAATTCTATACCAAGCTGCCTTAATGAATTTTAATATTAATAATAATAACAGCGCCAGTTATTTCTGGGTGATGTTCGCATAGATTCAATTCTAAAAAAGCCAAAGTACTGAAAGGTTTTTAAAAATTGCTAGAAAATTTTATTTGCCTGATTTTAAAAGTAGTACATGTTCAGTAAAGAAAATAAAACTTGGTCATAATCCTGTAGCCCCCCAAATTTCTGTTAACATGTTTTAAAAATATTCCTAGTCTTTTTCTTTCAGTGCAGTACTTTACTAATATAGTTTGTAGATCTTGCTTTTTGAGCTTAACATATTGTGAGCCTTCCTCATCTTTAAAAATTCCTTACAACTTATTGCAAATAACTAATAATATCACGTTCTAGATGTACCATTCATTTTCTTATTGCTGGACATCAAGAGTTCTGTTTTTCTAATTTTCTGATATTATTTCTGTACATATATAATACTAAGTCCACTTACTTTCCTACTTTAGAATCCTAGAAATTGGAAATTACTGTATCAGCAGTTTTCAAACTTTTTGGTCTCCAGATCTCTTTATACTCTAGAAACTATTGAGGACCCCAGAAAACTTTTGTCTATATGGGTTATATCTGTTAATATTCACCAGAATATAGATTAAAGCTAAGAAAAATTTTAAATTGCTTATTAATTTATTTTAAAATAATAGTAAGCCCATTACATGTTAACATATTTTGATGATTAATAACCATTATTTCCAAAACTAGTGAGAAAATGGCCATGTTTTACACTCTTGCAAATCTCTTTAATATCTGCCTTAATAGAAGGAAGACATATCTCTTCTGCATTCATTCAACCTGTTGTGATATGCTGTTTTGATTAAAGAATATGAAGAAACTCTAGCCTCAGACAAGTATGTAGTTGGAATAGGGGACAGTAGTTTAATAAGCTTTTTGGATGATTGTGGATATTTTTGTTACTACATAATACCCAACAAGTGGTGTTTTCTTAAAGGTTAATTGCAATATGTAATGTGAAATCATGTTATAGAACTTTTTGGCCAGTCTTGAACTTTGAGTGGCTCTTTGACCCATGCATGATTTTTATCATCGTGCATTCATTATCCGTTTGCAAACTGTTGGTTGTGAGTTACGCGAATCTTCCAAATGTTGTCACCTTTAATTATACAGTATCAAAAAATCACATTTGTTAATATCCCCACCGATCTCTTAGAAGTCTCTAAGATTTGAAGCTGTCACACTCACGGTGATAGATACAGAGATTTCCAATATTTTATTTTCCCTTGAAAGCTGAAATTTTATCATTGGCAACAAGTACTATCAGTTGTTTCCCTTGAAATGACAGGCTCACGTTGTTTTTTTTTGAGAAAATGTCTGCCAGATACCTAAGTCTGAATAATCATACTTTATATATCATTCATCCAAGTAAAAATGGTGTTCCATGGAAAAAGCATTTAGTTCAGCTCTCAAACAATCACGCAAGTGCTTCCCCTTGAGATGGTCATCAGTGCGTCTATATGCAGTAGACATGCTTTGTGTTTACTTCTTATTTTGTTGTACAGAGTGTTACAAGAATGTGTATTCAAAGGTTGAGATTTAATACAGTAAGATACAATTAAGATATTTTTACATGAAAATGGCATTTGTTTCCTTCCTACAAGTGTGTGACTCCTAGGACAGTTGTGCCTGGCCTTGATTTGTGCCCAGGAACTGGTGGTTTTGCCAACTGTTTTTGCACCATCAGTGCAAATGTCACACAGGGGAAAAGGCAAATCATGTCTTACTATTTCTATAAAAATAGTTTTGACCTTGTAGACCTCTGAGAGGGTCTCAGGGACTCCGGGGGTCCATTGGCCACACTGTAACAACTGGAAGCTATTTCAAATCAGAGGATATTTATGTTTTGAAGGATTTTGATGTATATTGACAAATTTCTATCAAAAAAGATTGTACTAATCCAAGTACCAGCAGGGCACGGAAGCATCGTTTCTGCAACTTTTGCCAGTATGGAAGGGAGTCATTATTTACTCTTTAATATGATGGAACAAGAATGACATCTCATAATTTACATTTTTGGCCTATAATACATTGTATATTTCCCCATTATTTATTGACCATTTAATTGTCTTCTTGGATTACTTACCTGGTGTCCTTTGCCTAATTTTCTGTTGGAGTGCTTGCTCTTATTACCTGTTGATTTGTCATTGTTTATTTTGCTCTGCATATTTTAAGGATGTTGATGCTTTTTTTAAAATTTTATGTTATTGAGTTACATAGTCAGTTTACAATGTTGTGTCAATTTCCAGTGTAGAACACAATTTTTCAGTTATACATGAATGAACATATATTCATTGTCACATACTTTTTCACTGTGAGATCTATACAAGATCTTGTATAGATTTCCCTGTGCTGTACAGTATAATCTTGTTTATCTATTCTATATATACCTGTCAGTATCCACAAATTTCGAACTCCCAGTCTGTCCCTTCCCACCCCCCGATGTTGATGCTTTATAAGTCATATTTTTGTTGTAGATAGTTTCCCAGCTGTTTGCTTTTAAATATTGGTCTTTTTTTTAATATATATTCTTAACTTTAAATTTATACTTTTTTGTTGAGGAAGTTCTATCCTAAGATATGAAAAATAAATCTTTCACTTAAATTTTCTCCTAGGTTCTTTATGGCTTTTTTAATTCTTTAATCTTTCTAGCTGTGATTTATTTTAATGTATACTCGAAGGTAAAGATGTAGCTTAATTTTTACCAAGCTTAACTTTTATTTTACACTGTGGCTTTTACTTGCTAGCCTCATTTCTCCATCCCCTCTTTATTTCACTGAAATTAAAAATTTATGTTTTTCCAAGTCACTGCACCGAACTTGGGCAGTCTCCCAACCACTCTGGTTTCAGAATCCTCCAATTTAAAATGAAGGGATAGGACCTTGTGATGTCTGATATTTTACAACTCCCAAATTCACTCTTATTCTGTTCTGTTCTGTTCTATTCTATTCTATTTCTATTCTACAGTTTTACAGTAAATAGGCCCTTTGGCCTCAAGAACATAGGACATACTATATTTAAGTACTTGCTGAGGATGAAGTCGTTGAT